CGCTTGTGAGCGTCATATTGATGTTCAAGTACTGGTTTTCAGATGGTTCCGCAACCAGTGTCAGCTCACGATGAAATCCTGTAACCACATGATATAATTGTATGTCCTGACAAACATTGCCGTGATTGGTTGTCAGTTTACACTGGTCATTTTTACTGACTTCGAATTTGAATTTTTTCGTCATATGATTTATTTTTTATTAGCTGGTAAATTTGATCTATGGTGATATGTTTGTTAATCGCTGATCAGTCTGAGTCCCAGGTTTCTAGAAATTCCCTAACCTTTTTTGATGTTTCCTCTGTTTCAAATTTCAACATTCTCCCAATCAAACTGATGCCCATTGCTAAATTCACTGTGTTTTTTAAATGCTCAAGTGAGTATGTTAAGAAATGACTGTCTATTCTAACCTATTACCACTAAATGTGAATATCTGACATAGTGGCGATTTGTAGTTTAGGAATCGGTTTTCAGTTTTATTCTGCTGCCTGAGCTGGATCGTTTTACTAACTGTCATGCTTGGCCAGAAGACACTCCAGTTGAAAGAACACAACAACACCATAAAAAAATGTTTATCAGATTAATGGTAAGCTGGAAATTTGTAATATTTTTTTAAAATATTTTTTTTTTGATTACAGCTTGATGCCACACCGTATTTTCAGTACAAGTATGGCATTTTCAGCATGGATATCGGTAGCCCGAATTTGCAGGCCGACCATAGATATCGGGTGTGCGATCGAACCCAGGACCATGTGCATGGTGGGCGAGAGTCCTAACCTAAAATGACGTGACCAACGCTTTTCTGGAAAGTATGAACCTTGAATAGTCTAATGCATTTGCAATGTGGGACAAAAGTTATAATATACAAAAACAAATAAAGCAGATTGACTGTACCAAATTACCAATGTACGATTACATAAAATTTCATTTTTACGTGTACAGTCCGCCAAGCGCTACAAGCTGATGAGAGTATTCGCCAACTTCATAACACCATGCATTTTGTAGTTCCCTAAACTGAAAGGAATTTCATAAGTGAAGTAATTATAATAATAATAATCGTAACAAAAGATTGAGCATACCAAAATCTATATGCCAAGCTGCCTTTATTTCGTGAAAAACGCATTTTTTGAATTTTCCTGACATCTGGATTGTCTAGGGAAAAATGAAAGCTTAAGTGTTTATTTGTTCATTTTTCTTGGTAAACTAACAATTCTGTTTGCATCTTAGACAACAGTTCATGAGCCTGCTTTCAGTGCAAATGAATCTATAGATATTTGGCATATTTCTTAGTATTTGTGTGGCTTTATTAGGAGATGGAGTTCATCTAAAACCCATGATGCATCTGGGATAATACATTTAGAACAGTTTGATCACGCATTTCTCTGTCAATTTAGTTTGTATGAAAAATTATGAAAGGCCAGTTAAAATTATTACTATTATTACTAATATTGGTAATACAATCAGATAAGAACAGCTAAGTTAGGTTAAGGGTAACAATATATTATTTTTATACACAGGGCACAGGGAGGGAGGGACTTTTGCTCAGGGATAGCTACTGCCTTTGCGTATTTCAGTAAGTGCCCCTGACGTTTTTTGTAGATAACCCTAAAAACCTATTTTGATATCAGTCTTATTATTTGTCTTGATTTTGTGGTTTGTTATGAACCAGGTTTATCGAGGTCTAACAGTTCACTTATTTTTCAGGCCATTCGAGTATATGTTCACCCACCCATTCTCACATGCAAGTTTCAGCTTCTCCACCCCATGTATGTATTCTTAAGATACAGTGAGGTAGAGCACGTCGGGGGTGAGCACAAATACTCCCCAATGATGACATCGGCTAGTGGTCGTACTATATCGTGAATTGAGGAAAGTTAGAATTCATGGACCATCGCAATGGATCCCAGTGACTGAGTGATCTGAGAGCTCGCCTTGTGACTGGAAGGTGTAACCAATTCTAGTAACTCCATTCAATGTATTAAAGGGACTAGTTTTTTTTCAATAACAGCATTGTGCAAACATTCGAATATTACTCTCAGGTACTTAGAGTTTTTGTGACTTGTATGTCGAGCGTATTATTTTCCCGTATTAATGCTATAAAATGTATCGCGAATTTCTCATTTTATCTTCATCGCCGTCATATTAGAAGGTGTTTGTATTTTACCTGTGATGTATGCAATTTTGTGGGATGCATAATAAAAAAAGTGTTCTGATTAATGTGGAAAAATCAAGAAGAACATTTAATTGTTATTTCAGATTCTTACCACAATCCGAATCATGTGGTCTGCTAAATACATCATATTTTAATGTGAACATAACAGTAAGCTTAGTAAAAAAAAAACAACAACATTAAAATAAACATTTTTATGGTTTTCACAAAAATTACTCAGAAGAATTCATATTTTAAAAAAATTAATTACTTTCCCAGTATTGTCTGGACAAAAAGACATATATATGTATATATATATAGGTATAATATTTCATGTTTATGTAAATTTTTGGATGCTTCACAATGTACTTTTTCGTACATTTCGCAACAAGTTGGCAGAAGAAGCATCAAAAATAGGACTTCAGGTGAACATAGAGAAAACAGAGGTGACGAAGATTCCTGGGCGACACCAACAGCAACAACAACAGACAACAATCAGCATAAATGGGAGGAACCTGAAAGAAACAACCTCTTTCACCTACCTAAGAAGCATCGTTTCAACTACAGGTGGACAGAACTGACGAGGATGTCAAAGCAAGAATCGGGAAAGCAAGACAAGCTTTCACTACTCTCAAGTCTGTGTGGAGGTCAACAGCACTCAGCATCAAAATGAAAATAAGATCCGGATTTTTAACTCCAATGTGAAGTCAGTCAGTGCTACTATACGGATCAGAGACTTGCACTGCGCATCATAAAAACCATCTCAAACAAACTACAGACCTTTATTAACAGTTGTCTTCGCTCAATACCACTCAGGATCAGATGGCCGGCCAGAGAAGATCAGCAACAGGGGTCTCTGGCAATGAGCGAATCAACCAAGAACCGATTGTGAAACAAATAAGCAGGAAGAAATGGAGATGGATTGGCTGGCCGTAATCTGAGGGAACCATCAAGTGACATCAGTTGACAAGCCATAGCTCGAGTGGAACCCGAAAGGGAAGCAGCGAGTTGGTCGTCCAAGGGTGACTTGGAGGTCAGGTGAAGAGATGAAAACGTCTGGGCAAACTTGGAGCCAGGTTAAGACTCTAGCAGAGAATCGAACGCAATGGAGACGCACGGCTGAAGCCCTATGTTCCTCTAGGAATTAAAGGGAACAATAATAATAAGTGATGCTTTAGGAACAATATGAATCATCCTAGAGTTCGTGTAACTTCATACTAATAAGTGGAGTATACTGTTTAGGGAAAACGAACCCCTGACAACTGATTCATATCAACTAGTATTTTTAGGTTAAAAGCATGATCATAGTCTATTTCGGTGTCTCAATTTTTTTCGTACTGGTTTTGGGAAAACAATCGAACGTCTTCTTCCCATTGCAGTTTACCTAGTCTGGTGTAATTATTCATTCATTTTATCGTCGAAGTATATCTCCAAGTCTTGAAAGATTTTAATTATTATTGTCATCAGTTTCCCAATTCCACTTTGCTCTCTGCTTTCTCCTTTAACTCGCACAACAATTGCCCCAGAGTGTTCATTTCCTTCTAAAATCGTCTCGTCTATGTGACACTACAGCGTCTAGCTAATCAATTCCCAGTCAAGTTCTAATGAACTCTCTATCTGATGCGTAATGTAACTTGAATGTCTCCTTCGTATCTGTTCATTTTTCTTCCGGCCAGCCATCTGATTCTCACTAACGAGCCATCGAAAGTATCTGTTGATGATCAATAAGTCAACGTTGATCGGTTGTTAAACCAAAGAATGACGAATTTCGGAATGCGTAGTCGTGAATGATACCCATCTCCTATCTTAATGTCCTTGTTCAGGCGAATCTCTATCACAACATCTATATTTCTTCCATAAAAGCGATTTACGTTTTTCATATATTCCTGTCGGGTAGCAATTATAACAATATCATTAAATTTTGTAAAGTTTATGTTTGCTTCTGTGCTGGTGTCAAGATATCGTTTATTGCATATCTTCTGGAAAACGACTTTTTCGTTATTCACGCAAAATGTTTCAATAAAAGTACACTGGTAGTCCTTTCGTTTATGCTCAGAAATTATTTTGTTAATTACATGCCTGTATGTTTTGCAACCTCATTGTGCATCCTACCTCGTTTCTGTGGTACCATGAGTCACTATTTGAATAAATGATTTTGAATAGAGGCTGAAATCAGTGGTATATCCAGAGAGAAACTGAAATCAGCAAACACCTTCATGTTACATAGGTCTTAAATAAAAGAAGATTCCATTCGCAACTTCTCTTGAAAACGTAAAAGCACACGGTGTTGTAAAAGATTCAGTCTTCAAGGTCTCCATTTCTTAGACAAATAATGCATTCGTGCATTAAGCAGTAACCTTTTTAACAGTTATTACTGTTTTATGTGCTGTCAACCAGTGTGATTTTGCATACAGGTCGAAAGAAAATACGCAGTGTGGATAAATAACAGTATTGATGTACACTGTCTTTTGAATAAACTCTATTTATTATAAGTTCTGTTTGATAAATACACAAAGAATGGTTTTCATACAGCATACATAGTAAATGAATTTTTAAAATTCGGTTGTAATGTATATATATACGTCGGAAAATGATACATTTGAAAAATTATTTTTGTAGATTAACCAAACTAATAGAGCTCTAGATACATGTGTGTATTATAGGAATATATGTGTACTAAATGCATATCGTGTGAAGGATAACTAGTCCACTAAAAGACTGATAAGTTCCCTGGTTCTTTGAAATGTGATGCTGTACTGCAAAAAAGTTTATTTAGTACACACAAAGTTTACAAAAATTAGTCCATTCCACACACACACACACACACAAGTAATATAGTAAGAAACATTCATATTTAAAAACTATTTGTTCTATGAATTGACTTGTTTGAATGGATATTTTTACTTTTTTCACAATGATTGTTGTTGTTATTGTTGTTATTATTAGTTTTCAGTAATTTATTCGAGTTTCTACACGTTGATACTATTGGCGGGAGTTGATAGATGACATTTTCAGGTTGTCGTGAATAGAGGAGATGTCGACGTTTAATCTCTTTCAGCTATAATAATATACAAACAAACAAAAAATAAGAGGAATGGAGCAATTACGGTGAGCTACTCAAAATAACTGACTTTGTTGCATTCATCACTGTTAAAATGCAACTGATTTGTGTAACACTTAATATTTTAGTAGTATGCTATTGAGTATTACAGAGGTATGACATAATTGATGCAGTTACTTAGAAGTGTTTTATAAAGAAAGTGAGAAATTACATAATAATAGTGAACAAAATTGAAGTAAAAGTTGAAAACTAGATAAGTTAGAGGTTGTCTTTATATGAGAATCAGGGCAGATGAGTGTTCTTGCTTCAGCTGCAATAACAACCTTTACTGTGTTAAATTATTAACCCTCACTCCCACCGTATTGGTAATTATTGTGTATTATCATTACTGTTCCTTTGGGCTACGAGTAGAACAGGAACGCATTTCTACTTTGTAATCTTATTGTATAGTTAATTTTTATGTTTAGAGTTAATACTGTAGTTTATGCGGTCTATGAGAAACTGACTGATTCTAAGATTCACTTTGTTACAGAACAGTGTCAGCTGTAGGAAGTGGCTGAACCAAAAAGCACTGAGTAGCCTGTTTTGCACTGCTTTTCTGGGCTCTTCAGCTGTGTTCATGGACGATAAGCTGGATGCTCCATGTTCTGTGGCTGTAAAATATTCACTTAGTTGCTATTGGTCTCACACAAGGCAAAGCATATCTAAATAGAATTCTAATAGTGTTCTCAGTTCCATTCGCATTATTCAGTGTGATATATCGTTGTGTTCCCGAACAGATCTGAGTGACTGTTAGTTACCATATTATTCTGATAAGATGATTTAACCGTGGATCGGCGCCTACTAAAGAACTCTAAAAGCAATAGACTGGTATTATGCTTTTGTTTCACAGTTGCTAGGAAACGAAATTCATGCAGGATTAAGATATAAATTACTAATTACCTTCAAGGATTATTGAGTTACGACAGAAAACGTTTTCAGTATTATTTCATTTTCAGTAATCGGCTAGATAAGATCAGCCTTTCCCTGCCTTCATTTTATTGATTATACGAAATCTTAGATGGCTTTGAATGTGAAAAGGACGTGCTTACTTTCTACGGGAGATAATGCCTCTTTCATTTTACCTTCTAGTTGAACACATGATCTTTGTTTTGATGCGTCCACGGATTAACTGGTAAATGAATGTGCTCCTCTTGATTCACTATGACTGTCGCTTATATTCGCAATGAGTTTAGCTTAGGCTGATGTCTAAACTATATAAATTATTGCAGAATTCTTTCAGTAAAATATCTAACTTTGAATGGCAACGTACCCTACAAGATGCCGAATACCAAGAATTATTTTAAAACCCCGTAGAGTATTTAACTTACTTGATTCAACGTTGAATAATCTTCATGAAGCTTATTATTATGCCTGTCACCAGCTTGATTTTCAATCATGAAGACAGTTGGTGTTCTATACATATGACTGTTTAATTTTTTACAAAACTTTTGATTTGAATTATTATATACTGGCGGTATACGATTATATCTGCATACACCAGCCTTTCTGTTCATTGGTCGTGGATATGCATTACTGCCAAATGTTGTACTTGGTATCGGTGATTTCTCAGCTATCTGTGTTTCATTCACATCATAAGCAAAATTCACTTGTAATGCAGAATCACGATCATTACGTGTTTGTTTTCTTGATTCTGACTGACGTCTACAGAAACTTCTACAAATAAGTAAAATGAAGCGGGTAACAATAAAGCCACACTATATTTTACAATATACAGAAGTGTACTGTCATTACATTTTTTACGCAAACAATTTTTTCGAACATGTAGGAAAAAACGCAATAAACGATTGACAATTGGATGAGCTGCAGCTCATGCATTCAGTTTTGTCGGCTAATCGATATCTTGAAAACTTTATAGGACGTTGTAGTGAAGGGAGATTTCTGCTTGAAAATACATCTTCCGTAATACAGAAAGCTATCATTATTAAATCACCATTCAAGGATGATCAAGTCAAGCGATCAACAGTCCAAAGGCTTTCGTCAGCCACTAAGCGCACTCTCTACGCCAACTGCATTTTTTTAAAAATCTCAAACACTTTCACCTCCTGTAAATTATGAAATTCTGTGGACCTTATTGCGCAGTGTATCTACAAGTTCATCTGCAGTTTTGACGACACATATTGGCAAAATTAACAGAATGTTCCAATGTAGCAGGAACGAACACATTCACATAGAAAATCTGAATATACTTAATCCGAGTAGAAATCCATCATCACTTAATAATGTCAGGTGACAAATCAATATTTTAATGACTACTTCTCAATTATTTCACACAACTCCAAATGAATTTTATTAAAAGTGATGGAAGCACTTTGGATTAATCAGCTGCATTCCAAATTATGTAGAGAAAGCGTTGGACTTCAACATTTGCCTACCATGGACCACTTAACTTAGTAGAATATGATTGGTGTTTAGTAAGCACTTTTATTTTAGATAACTGATTAGTTGTCAATCTCTTTATTTTATTATTTTTAACCAAGCTACTTGTAAAGCAAAAGTAAAGAAACTATGAAACGATGTCATCTCGAAATAGGCCTTCTTAAACCATATTTATTGATCGTTCAATGATTCAGGAGATATTAGTCCGGAAAGTAAATAAGTGTAACAACGGGACACTTAGTTTTTTTCAGATGGGAGGAGACAGAATGACTGTCTGATATCTCATAGGATGTGTAGTCCAATGAATAGTGTTAAATCCAGCCCCTGATTGATAGCCAGACTGAGAATGGTATTTTTACTAACATTATTTTGTATAATAGTTATATTTTACAAACAATCGCTCAGCTGGTGTTTGACAGATTTTGAGGCTACACTTTACCATGGTAGGAGATTAGTTGCAGAACCGCTGGAAACAGTTTCACCATATTTCAAGACTCTTCCCCAGTGAACAACCGTCACTCCACCTGGTATCAAACGTAGGACCATCAAGTAACGAGATTACTAAGTTACCATTTAGCTACTGGGACAGAACTGAATGAGCCATGAATTCTTACTTCCCAAGTTCGCGATATGATCATATTTTAATTCTTCGTTAATCTGAAAGAAGTACAACTTTGGCCTTGATTACATTTTCTGATCAGCTATAAGGTTTTTTATAAATTGGGGATAACCGAACTAGAAAAAGCATTACTGTTTGAGATAATGAAATACGAAATTATATCTCATTGAAAACACTGGGATTAGGAGGGGATACAGACACAGCTAAATTAGATAGGGACACCACTAAACATCATTACAAGAATACTGAGATCATCGGTTGAACACGCATCCTCGATTAGTTAATTTCAAAACATTGATGCTAACAATAGCCATTCAAATTGTTCCCTGATTAAAAAGTCTCAGTTACTAGACTACAAACCACACTTGATACTGAGTGACTTTTATTATCTTTCAGATACTTAGGCTGAATGGAGTAAGTTGAATGGGTTTCAAATCTCCGATTTATTGGTAAAAACCGAGTGTTTAAACGTATCATTTAAATAACTTCGTCAAGAGCACCATAAGGCTGATAATTTGAAATGATTAAATCTTAGTCAAAATAATAAATATACCATTTACTTTTAATTACATATTTTTAATCTACTACTTACCGAATACGTAGAATAACGGCCATGAAGAAGCAAACAATCAGTACACAGGAAAGTGTAATCACAATCAGAATTTGTACTTCACTAACACCATAGTTTTCTAGGAAACAAAACATTAAATAAATTCATGTGAACTGTGATCAAGATTTGACCGAATAGTTCCAAAATAATAGGGCGCCTAGTGAGAAGTAGACATATATGCGAAAATTATACTTGTAAAAGCTCAGCGAAACTGAAATTGAATAATTCCAACTTTTTGTTCGGCAACGTGATCCGAACTTCTTCAGGGAAATTAATCGAAATTAAAAACATTAAATAAAAGTGGCACTAGGTTTAGGTTTTGCAGCAAAAAAAAATATTATTTCTGTTCTCACTAAAAGTAGTTTACAGCACATCAATCTTTAGACGTCAGATAAGCTGTCCCATTTAGGTGCGGTGGCAACTCCCGGATATAAGACATAATCTACCACAGAACTATTCGTTTTCTTTTGAATTCATTACAAATTTCACGTAAGCAGCTCATTTGAAATTGTCGTAAACATTATAATGTCACCGTAGAATTTTCCAGATATCTGGGACAGGTGTTGAATCATTCCTATTGCACGTGTTTGCAGTTGATTCGACAAACAGAGCTACCGTTACCAATCTCTCCCTCCATCCTGTTACATTAGATTTTAAAACTGTCATCTTATCCTATCCTATTGTGTAGTTGTGTGTAATTGCATGTAGTAATCTAGATTTTACAAAATCTAGGTTAGTTGACCCGAATAAGATAAAAAATCTGCAGAATAGTTCAGCTGTAGCACTCACTACATGCAATTACACACAACCACACAATAAGGTGGGGTCAGATGACAGTTTTAAAATCTAATGCAACAGGATGGAGAAAGAGATTGGTAATGGTAGCTCTGTATATCGAATCAACTGCAAACATGTGCAATAAAAATGATTCAACACCTGTCTCGGATATCTGGAAAATTCCACTACCTCAACGACGACAAATAGGAGAGAACAAAGAAACCTAAAAAACTCAAGTTTCGAAATTGTGCAATTATAATTGATATGATTATGAACAATTAACTGTGTTCGCAACGTCATCCAGTAAATAATACTGTTTCACTGTATGATATATCTAATAAACAAACTAATATGGAATTACTTACTCCCACAGTGCTCAACTTTTATATATACATTATTACCCTGCGCGGTTAAGAAACGGACAAACAAGACTTATTGGTGGCTCCATTTTGGCGCACCTTATTGACAATGGGCATATAGTTCATGTTAATACAGAATTCGAAGTCATTTATCGTTTCCCGTCAAATAATAATTTTGCTTGACGAGTTCGTCTTCTACATACAGCTGAAGTCATCGGAATCCACCTGAAGAATGCAGACTTTTGTGTTTAGAAGAAATTCATACAACTTCTTTCCTTACCTTGGCTATTATTACATTAATGTAAAAAACTGACAATTTCCCCCTTCACTCTAAGCCTTTTTTCAAGTTATAATTGTCCTAATTATTATGTTATTATTCCGACTACTTCAACTTTAACTGCTTATTACGTAGTCGATTCGGACACTCATCTGATTCTCAGTTGCTCCTTATTTTTCCTAAAATTATGCATTATGTAATCCAATTGTTTGAGTTTTGAAATTATATTGACCCTTTCTTGGCTAATTATCACCGCATTATCATTATTGTTAACCAACTTGTCACCACTAGATTGGCAAGTTTTTTGTATTGTACTAAAAATGTTATGCATATTACAGCAAAGTTGTAGAAAACGATTGAGCTGATGAGACTAGATTTAAGAAATAAATAAGATTGGATCACAAGTGCGGCGGTGGTATAGCGGTATAGCTCGCCGACCATGCACATGGTCCGGGGTTCGATTCCCGGCCACTGGACGCACTCCTTTACCTCGTTGAGCCAGAGATAATGCTGGTAAAGAGGAAAGGTTGGGCATGAGGCTCGCAACCCAATCCTGTAAAAGTTAAACAATGCTACAGAAACTTCAAACTACTAGCTTGACGCCCTATGTTCCAATGGGAAAAGTGAAGGAAAAAAAAGATTGGAAAACATATTACTTGACAAGCATAGTGTTATTCCTCATTCTGAGCTATAAATCTGTATTATTTCATAGTGTTATTTATCCGTTGTTATTTGATCTATTCTAGGCATTTAATAACCAAACTTCCCATGTCGAATACTTATGACTGCTTGTTATTGCATATGTGGTACTCGTGTGTTTTTAGTAAAAGCTTTTGACAGAGAAAATAAAGCTTTCAGTCTATTGGAATAGTTAAAGAATGGTCGCCTTCATATCTAAGACAAATAAATATCATGTTAAGAACTTCAATAAATCATCAATGGTGGGAAACTTTGCAGATGAATAAAGATAAACAGAAACGACAAATTCTGCTTGAAAAAACATATCGAAAACTGAATGTTAGAAAGAAGAAAGTGAACAGTGAAGTTTATTCACATTGGTTGATTCACAAAGTTTTTTCCTCATCCTCCATAAAATGTACACAATTAGCCGTCAGTAACACTGGATGGTACTTATGGTTTATTGATTCAGTTATTTTTAGAGTTGCCAGTATCATCGTCTGAAGAGATTCAAATCAAGAGGAAAGAGAAGTGAGACGTCAAACTTTTCACTTTTCTTTTTATCTCAAATCAAGTTCGAGATTATCAGTATTAATATAGTTTGACAACTTTTTTCTTGCAGAGCAAGATACATTGGCCGTATCCAGAGAACGCTTTTCACACAGATATGCTAACCTATCCCAGAATGATTTTACGAGGGGAAAAAAAGGGTGTGAGAAACTCTGTTCTGGAACACTTGATCGACTTATGTAAGTCTACCAACGCTAACCATGATTTTAAGATCATATTTCGAATTTATGCTAACTAGCCGCACTTTCTTCGTTCTAGACTTCTGAAAGCCTTCGTCTTTCATAAATTCAAGCCAGACATTTGTGTTAAAAAGAAGTATGTGCAACCCATATTTCTGTCTTGGCCGTAGAAAGATAAACATATATTTATCCTTATTCTGCTTATTTAGTTAATCTGCGTACCTTTCCTTCCTTCATTACTACGATTGTTATTATTGTTCCTACTGCTATTCTCACTCTGAACTGATTCCGGTATTACTTCACTTGTCCAACTTGTCATTCTAAGTGAAGATGTTTTGCTGCAATGTTGAATTCTACCTTACCGAATTTCACACCATGTTATGTAACGTCTCTTATTTGCCTACTTATCCTATAATATTATATCCCCATCTACACATCCTGTGAACTATTCTACATACAACATTATTTATTTTTCCGCTTGGCACTTGATATTGAACTATGATTTTAATCACGAACATTTTAACTGCATCTTATACTACTATTATTATTATTTTAAGTATTCACATCTTTGTTTAGATTTCCCGATGGGATACAATTTCTTAAAAAAAACCGTATATATGCGAATGGATGGCTTGATAATCAGTTCATTGAAAAGAGTCTCTTCACTGGATGTGGTGTTCTTGAATCCACTCTATTCGACTAAGAATACTTTGAATGAGTTATTTAAGTCACTTCCGTTTCCACCCCACTGGGGCGGGATGGAGGACACCTGAGTGGTTGTGCCACCGGAGGATACTGCACACAGTTTTGGTCTTGCAAGAGGCTAGGATGAATGTGTACAATTCACTCTAGTAAGCAGGTGTATCGCTAAGTACTGCTACATTTTTAGGTGTAAACTGGTCACTCTTATACACTTTCAGTTAACTTCAGATTTCTGATATGAATCCATTTAAGCACAATAATTTCTACCAGGAAGAACCAACATTCAGACGAATTAGTTCAAGAAATAATGCGAGACATATCACAGTGCAAACTGATTTGTCGTGCTGAGTGAGTGATTCAGTATAAACGCCTCGAACAGAAATTCTGCGCAGTACTGGTTCCACTTTTTTGAGAAAGAGTAAGGCTACAGCTAATCAAGTTCGCTTAATTTGAATGCTAACAAGACATCTGAAGGACGAGTTCGTGCTAACACGTGTATTTTAGTGGTTTTATGTGACAAAAATGGGACTACTTCTTTAAGTGTTTCACTTGCTAATAATGGAATTTAGTAATGACAGCTAGAAATTAATTTTTTGTTTTCCTTCACGTTCCCAGTGGAACATAGGGCGTCAAGCTAGAGGCTTGAAGTTTCTGTAGCAGTGTTTATTTTACAGGATTGGGTTGCTAGCCTCTTGCCCAACCTTTCCTCTTTACCAGCATTATTTCTGGTTAAGCGAGGTAAAGGAGTGCGTCGGTGGCCGGGGATCGAACCCCGGACCATGTGCATGGTCGGCAAGCGTCCTAACCGCTATGACACCAACGCACTAGAAATTAATTAGTACAAGTATAATCAGAAAACAAAAACAAATTCAAGATAACCTTTCCACAACTTACCTATTTTTGTCTCATTTTTCATTCCATATATATCCCCATTTAAAGTATATCCATTATACTTTTCTAACATTTGCTTATCACCTTCAATCATTAAACTTCTTAAATTCTCTGTACAGAATGTAATATTTGTAACAGATAATTCATTGTGTTCATTATTTATATTGTTATTGTTATTATTGTCATAATTACTTTGATGATACGTATTACTATTATGATGGATGTGTCGATTGACTGTTTCAAACCAATCCATGAATAAATCATCCGGTTTTAGATATTTCTGTGTCCATATAATAATCTGCATTTTTAATACAGAATAGTCGATATCCTGATATTCTTCTTGATTGTAAAGAAAATCAGGATTCTTGTCATACAGCTGTAAGATTATACAACCAGTTGTTCCAATACTTGACGTCGTTGTTGTCGTGGCGGATGCATTCAAATTAATTTTGGTATTATTATCATTATTATTATTATCTATACTACTAGTGGTAGTGCCATTTGGTGTGGATAATGATGAATATTCATGACTAGTTGTGGCGTTGTTCAAACGTACCGCTATTGACAGTAATTGCTGTAACCACTGAGAATTAGTGAAGCTGATTGTTTTTGAATTATAATTTGGTTTAAATGTATCAGCCGGCAGTCTTTCTCTAATTCTCATGTTTATTTGTTTTAAATTTTACTGAATCTTTCTTTTAAATATCAACTGATGAAACAGGAAAGATTTGACAGCTTTGTGCACTTATTTCGACGATGCGCTTTTCTGCAGAAAAAGTAACACAACAAAACAGGAAAACCAATGAAACAATTCAGTTAGGCTGAGGAGAAGAAACAAAGATATATCGCACAACATATATTAATGGCAGTAACTCCTGGTGCAGAAAACATTTCAGCTGGTAGCTTTTGTTAACAACTCAAGTTTCGCCCTAGTCTCGAACTCTTCATCGGTGCGCATCCACTGGAGTTCGAATCCAAGGCCTCCCAGGTGCAAGGCGAGATCGTACACCCTTAGGTAACTGGGACCCGATCCATTTGTCCATGAATTTCAACTTCTGTCAATTCAGGATGTGGGGCTACCACTAGCCAGTTTAATCGGCAAGTATTTTATATTATTATATCATATATATAATATATATATTATGTATATTTATATTATTATTCTATATTATACTAGTGGCGTCTATCAAGGATGCCCATTATCCCCATTTCTATTCAACTTCATCGTAGATGTACTAATTGACTTAGCTCTAACTCACTTCATTGACTCAGGGATTCACTTGCTACAAGGGAATAATCTCGTTGACTTTGAATATGCAGACGATATAGTCCTTCTGGGCGAGGACGCTGGCAAAATGCAGAGTCTTCTGAACAACCTGAGCTGCAATCTACGAATGTTTGGCATGCCATTCGCTCCCGCCAAATGCTAGATAATGTTACAGGATTGGACTACACTGACTCCTATATTAGAAATAGGAAGTGAAGTGGTAGAGCACGTTGACCGCTTCATTTACTTGAGAAGTACCATCAGCCCCAACGGGTTGATCTCCGACGAAATCTCAGCACGGATACAGACGGCTAGTTTCGCATATGCCAGTTTACGCCGTCTCTGGTGTAGACGTGATATCCGGCTGACTATCGACCAAAGGGCGGGTGTACTGCTCAGCAGTCTGCTCCGTCCTGCTTTATGGGTGTGAGACCTGGCCTTTGAGAGTGGAAGACATGAAAAGATTAGCTGTCTTTGATCATAGGTGTCTGCGTTCTACCTCCCATGTGAAGTGGTATAATAAGGTGAGCAATACTGAGGTAAGGCGTCGAGTGCTAGGGAAGGAGGAGAAATCAATCGACGAGGCTGTGAAATTACATCGACTGAGATGGTTAGGACATGTGTTACGTATGCCTAGTCATCACCTTCCTCGACGGGCAATGTTAGATGATATAGGGTCGGGCTGGTAAAGAGCTAGCGGTGGTCAAACCAAAACATGGCACCAGTCAATGAAATCTACAACAGTTAGCTTGAGCCACGTAGGAAGGTGTAGACTTCCTAGTTGGGGTCCTCGGGACGGTAAAAACCAATGGTTGGAAACAATCGGTGACATGGCTCAAAATCGTTCTCAGTGGCTGGTGCAGATGCATCCACTCCTTGTGACTTATGATTTCCAATGAAACTGTTTTGTTCTTCGTTATTACTATTCTTCTGTTTACTGTCTCTAATATGCATTTCTCCTACTTTCTTCTCTTGCTTTGTGTGCTACATGGAGTGTGGCGACTTGAACTACCGCACGTATGTGCAAAGTTCTATGTCGAAAACAGACAGACAGATTTTATATTAGACTTTCAGAATATCCTCAACCCGTCCTTAATAAATAATAATGGGGGAGCATTTCAGTCAAAGAATAAAATATACACAGTAGATGTGAATATCCAGCAAATAATATATGAACCAATGAGAAACTTCAACAACAACAACAACTACTACTAATGGAAACTAATTGAGGCCAGTTTGTCTGTTTTCCATATGTATCAAGATCTTAGAAAATGAAGGAAATTATTTAAAACTAATTATATAGGCACTGAGATGTTACAGAAATGGGTGAAGTAATCTATGCTGTTTATATTTGAAAACTCGCTTAATGTCTACAAGAAAAGCGGTTAAAATTACCTCCATCTTAATAGGATTGACCAAAATATGAAGATCCCATTCATAAGATAGCAATAAATGATTAGATAACTTCAAAAGAATTGAGAAAGTAGTTTGTATTTGCGATGGAAAACTCATAATAATGCAGTAAATTAATTGTGTGAAATGTTCCAGTAGCGGTGTAATCAAAGTTATTCCGAAATCAGATAAGTTCAAATTTATACTGCCCAATAAATCTGATTATGTATCAGAAAAACAGTGGGCATTTATAAGTGGGTTTCAGTGAATTATTTAGGACGCCATTGAATGATGTTATAAACAAAGGTAAAAAATTCGCGTGCGTCGGTGGTGCAGCGGTAGGATGCTTGCCAACCACGTATAAGGTCAGGGGTTCGATCCTCGGCTGATGCACTGCTTTACCTCGCCTAGCCGGTAGTAGATCCGGTAAAGAGTAACCCCATCCCGTATAATATAATTGCTACAGGAACTTCAAAGCTCTAGCCTGAGACCCTATGTTCCACTGGAAATGTAAAGGAATAAAAAAAGAGAAATTCAGAGTAAAATGACGAAAAGAACGAATAAAGTTTTTCTTGAAATAGTATGAAGTATTTAATTAGTTTAATTAAATTAATAATAGTACTAATGCCAGGCATCTTCTTGATATGGTTCATGAGGTGGAAATCGTGAAATCCTTTAAAATTATCAATAGACAAAGGAGCTCCATTCTCCTCAAGTTTGCCGAAGCAATTTCTATCAACCTCTTGAAACCCGGTTCATGTGTTCAGAAAGAAGCAGTTGTCAGTGTTTACTTGCCCTGGTGACTAGATGTCTTTATTCGCTCTTTCACTTGATTACGTAATCTTTACCTTAAAAAAGGGACCCCTTTGATATAGTGTAATTTTGCTTGTCTCTTGTTTTTATGATTTGAGTTGAACTCATTACATTGTTACCTAATTTGCTAGTCACTCATCATCTTAAGCACCTCTCGTTTTTGTTACGTAACTCCTCCACCACTGTATGCATGCATTTACTTTGTTTAAACTTGAACTGCCTGTGTAAAAACTATATGAGCGTAATTTTCCGAGCACTGTTCACCGATTCCGGAACCTCCTGTCAACTGACATAGTGTGAAATTTGCAAGCTGTAAGCGGCTGATGAGGAGCCGACGAAATAAATGATGGCACCACATTATTCTGCACAAACCACACTGTTGTTCTTGCTTTATTCAAATTCATCAAGGGAAATAAATGTATGCAGAAACTTTACATAATAAGAAATAAATCAAATATGAAGCCGACTATTTTCCTCTGTTTATTTAATGGACTGTAAAAAGTACCATTAACTTAAAGGTTCTTCAAAATCTGTTATGTCAGCTGCTTAACAGAATTAGTCTTTTTGGCTGTGTTGATGTCCTATCCTAAGTATAGTTCGATTCAAAATATGCTAACAGCTCATTAATTCTTACAGACGAATACAGGAGGACATGCTGCATTATGTGAAGAATAAATAGTCGTAGACTTTCATTGATAAGATCCAAGTCACACCTCAGAGTTCTATTTGTATTCTTAGCTGCATCTGACAAAATGTCATGTTTGTGCACTGATAAATCATGGAGAACCAAAACTTATGCATTTTTAAGAGTTTATTCATTTACAGTATTCCACGTAAGTTGGCTAATTAACTCCCAAGTTGTACAGTTATTTAAGGGAGCACAGATACAATGTTAACTGACAAAGAAGGCAAGAGATTACTTTTAGTTAGTAACAAAATAATTCAGAGTTTATGAGAAATTACGAATGAATTATCCAACGTAATCAAGAGATTGGTTACAGAATTTTATCATGAGCTGACATCGATTACAGAATCACTGGAAAACCCGGGCTGCCGGACAGCTGTTTCGTCCCAGTTTTAAGCTCTTCATCAGTAAGCACGCAACGCCAGTGTTCGAACCCAGGACCTCCTGGCTACAAGGCGAGCTCGTAGACCATTCAGCTACTAGGACCAGTTCCTGTGGCCATGAATTCTAACTTCTGCCAATTCACGACATAGCGCGACCGCTAGCCAATGTATTCGGCGAGTATTTGTCCTCACACCCGACTTGCTGCACCCTACTGGTCACCTGTAACAAGAGGGTCCTGAATTCGAACAGTTTCGTTGGGTGCGTACTACTGAAGAGTCCCAAACTAGGGCGAAACAGCTATCCAGTATTCCCAGGTTTACCAATGCTTCTCTAGCCGATGTCAGCTCTTGATGAAATCCTGTAATCAATCAATCAAATCCCTACAGACCAATACTTGATGATCAAGAGAACTAACAAACAACTCATCAAGTGATGAACAATTCTTCGGAAATAACTGATAGTTTTAAACAAAAGAAGAAAGAATTAAAAATGGGCTGCGAAAAAAATGAATAAAATATCACACAGAGTTTACTGCGGAAGAAAATAAAAATGACACTGAGGCCATGATAGAAAATAGAGGCTGGATAAAACATTTCTCGACACAAAGTCGTGGTTTTGTGAATTGTAAGAGGTTCGGCTACATAAAGAAGATGTAGGCGACATCCTTAGAACAGCTTGATCTTCCTCTATAAATGTATCTGACTAAGGTCTCTCCTGGTGCTTCGTGAGATGAAGTAACAATGTGCTCTAGAATCGTACTTGTGACTGATGTATGTTCTTTTTTCGACATCCATGGCTATAGGTATAGCTCCTAGACAATTTCCTACCGGTACTGCATGTCTCCTTAACTCAACAAGAATAAGTGAACTGGTAAATACACACTGAAGTGACAAAGAGACGGATTTTGTCTTTGAGAAAGAGCATAATATAATAATAATCATTGCGGAAAGGTGGAGTAGGGGTTTAGCAAAGCATATTTCTCGAACTTCCCCCGATATACGCTTTTGAAGAAACTCAGTAACTGTATCTCCCTTGAATTTCAGACTTCCAATTACTTATTTCTTTGATGCATCCAGGTTCTGTGGAGAATTTTTTCTCCCTCTTTAAATGTTTGTCGATGAAGGAGGTTGGGTATTCATTCCTGATTA